CAACTAAAATAGCTGGGAGGAGAAAAACAGAATCTGTATAAATCACATGACAACGCAGGTGTTCGAACCTTAAACTGTCTGATAAAGTCTGAAATATAATGAAAACTTTTTATCATGTAAGAATTTTTCAAACATCTGGAAAAATTTTAATCAACTTACAAGGAGAAAGCAAATTTCTAGTGGTGTTTATTCTAACGCAAACGCCTTGAGTCGATCTTTCATAAGACTACAAGCTAACATAACTGGACCGGATATTTTTATCCTTGTAAATGATCATTTCCCAGGTTTTAGTGAAAAGAATGTATTACCAATTCACAAATCCTTAAGTGAATCACACAACCTAGGTGCCGATGGTGTACTAAGCGTTTTACTTCAAAAGTGTACTGATATTTTGTGTTATCCTCTTAAGGTGTGGTGAGAGCTGTCTGCAAGCCAAAAATATTTACGTGAATTGTTCGTCCCGAATCGGAGTCATGAGAAAAACAATAACGAAGGTTAACCTTGAGGAACTCGACAACCAATCACAGCAGACTTAACATGTGCAAATACGATTCACAGACATATAGTTTGATATTTTGAGAAATGGCCACAAAAAGAGAATAACCTTCAGCAAGAAAACAACCAATCAGAAGGCGTTGCTTCTCCACTGGCAATAATGTACATAAAAATCTATAAATATCTGTTGATTTTCTCGATAAACGATCTGTTTCTTGGCCCTTGTCTTCTGTCTTTACAGTAGATCTAAATCCCACCAGTCTCAAAACAAGAATTAGTACGTTCTCTGAGCCTGATGATTTGAATGGTCTGGTCGAAACATACAGTAAAAACTGTGCTGGAGCCTCTTCTTGACACCTTATTACAAAATCGATATCCACCTGAATTTATTAAGTCAAACATGACGGGTGGGTAAATCACTGCTGCTACTGGGCCTAACTGTCAAGTGGGAAGCGACAAATTGGACATCCAAGAGTGACTTGAACTAAATCATGAGCACAATGGAAATATGCTCGTGAAGACCAGTTTTCCACTTTGATCTCAAGGAATAAATAAAATATTTTATAATATTTAATTATTAAAAACAGGCTGAGAAAAATAACAGTATAAAGGTCTTTTATTTTTTTCCTTCGCATTCATAACGTTCACAAATTAATTTTCATACACGATGACTAAAGTCTATTCATCACACGCTTTTTCTTCTCCATTTAACAGAACAACTTTGTGAGATGAGCACTTTACTCACATAAGTATGCAGCACAACACAGATCAGATAAGCTATAAATACACTGGAATCAACATGATTTTGATGCTAACATAGAAATTAAATCAGGTAAGCGTATCTTTGTATAATTATTGTTCATAACATCCTCCTCATGCGTTTGTAAATATACTCAATTCTCCTTACACCTCATGGTTTCTTGCGTTTTACATCCAGTGTCTCTCTATTTCTCTACCGTTAAGTTTCTTGTTGCTTCATTCGCTGTGTTAAATTCAAAACAACTAGTTTGTTTAGTACGTCAGTGGTTCAGTGAGGGAATACTCATTCAGCAACATTGCAAGTGTCCTGGGTTCGATTCCCTGTCAATGCACTCTTCAGCCTTGCTTAACCATTGATAATCCCAGCAAAGAGAGATGGTTGGGAGTATGCCTAGCAACCTCATCAAATAAAAAGAAAAAATAAACATCACTACCACAGAGACTTCAAAGTTTGTAACCTTATGTTCCACTCAGAAAGTCAACCTATCAGAATAAATAATAACAGCGAATCCCTTTAATAAGTTTGGATAGTTCTATTAGAAGATGGAGATTATCTCAAAAATATGGTGTGATGTATTTGTACAAAAGGCGTGAAATAATGATATTAGTAATGATTAACAGCTACATAATAAGTGAATTGAAACAGTCTCACCACTGATTACAAATACGAGAGGATGAAAGAGCCAACTATTTTGGCTAATAACATAATAAGTCGTAGGTTTCGCTCTTAACATTATCGCTGTCTCATAGGACGCATGTTAAATATGGTATCGTTGAGTTTCTTTACTTGGTTGTACGACCATATAATCTTTTTTATGATGACTTCTAGTCTTGTCTGATGAGACGCAAGTCAGGAAGAATTGCGAATAGAGAGGGTGTTGACAGTCATAAAATATGTATTTAGACCATTTGAAAATACCACTTGAAAACTCTTGTGTTCCAGGAATTGGCCTGACACCAGTTTAGTAAATTATACTTTGCTTACTAACTAAATCTTAAGAGCCATTAGGCTGAAAAAATTTGTTTCTGAGTGGGCTCGTTGATTTAAATGCTGCCTCATTTCCAGTGTTGTTGAGAATTTTACACAGAGTATCTGATATTCCTTCTTTATGTGGCAAATGTGTGCGTCGGTGGCACAGTGGTAGAGTGCTCACCAATCATAGAGGTGGTCCGGGGATCGATCTTCGGCCGATGAACTCCTTTACCTCACTAAGCCAGTATTAAGACTATCAGAAAGGGATGGTTAGGCATGAGGCTAGAAACCCCATCCTGTAAAAATAACCACAACTGCTACAGAAACTTCAAGCCTCTAGCTTAAAGCCCCATGTTCCACTGTGAACGTAAAGGAGTAAAAAAATATTTTAAAATATGGCAGATGTATTACCCCTTATTATTTTTTTATTTTTTAAAAAAAAATATAATTTTTTCACCATTTTCATTTCTAATTTTATTTTTCTTTTGAGTAAAATTCATTGTGAAGTTACTTATTGATTTGAATTCCCTGATTTGTAGTTAAGGCTTCTGGTATGACTGCATAAAAACTTAAATAAACCTGCCTTTATCAATTTTCACTGCCCTGATTCAAAGTCTTCGCATCTATGAGAAAGTGACAGTTTCTTATAGATGTTGGTATCTAACTAGCCAGTTTGGGATAGACAACTCACTCTGTTGATTTTCTGAGTTGAAAGTAAACTGAAATTCACCTACTATTGAATTTATGTCCTTGAAGAACTTAGAGGTATGCTGAGATTAAAGCGGAATGAATGCATCATACAGTTAACATTACTGTATCACTCTGTGGTTATATCAGGTGTACTTGCCTTATATGGAACTATATTCCACTGAAATGACCAAAACTTCTTCTTCAATGTTGTTTAGTTTATTTACTGATAATTTTGGAGAATGAGATAGTTGGAGGGAATCGGAAGGAAGACTTGGAGCCTTGAAGGAACTCACGTCCCTTCTGAGATTCGAAACTGCTTCACCCAGTGGGAGCTGCAGTCAGAGACGTTACCACTGAGTTATTCGGCCTGGCTCGCGATTGACCTCCTGTAGGACTGTAGGGGATAATTTGAATGGAGAGTAGTAACTAGTGTGAAGTGTCTAGTCCTCTCTATGGTGCAGACTGAATTCTAACCATCTAATATCATCAAATCAGTGTGCACCATGTTGGCGAGCTACCTAGAATGGTGGCCACATTGCACACCTGACTGACTGATAGAAATCAGTCTGCACCAAAGAAAGGACTAGACACATCACACTAGTTACTAACTAGTGTCCAATCAAAGATATTGGAGAATGGAAATATTTTCTTCCTCATAATTTTAAATTCTCATGATTACCGGTACTTCTATTGAGGCTTACATTCACTTTCATTAGAAATCAAATTCACAAATGTCAGATTGGTTTGCAATTTGCTATCTACACAGTTCAAGAGGTGAAATTTCACTGTAGTTTCCTGCGGAAATCCAGTTAGTCAGATCACCACAGTACGTGATCTGTTTGACCCCATAGATGATCATCAAGATAACAAGCATATCTGCTGAGATTAGTAGTTGTTGATCTCTCGCATGAGTAAATGTTGCTTTGTAGCCACTTCGAAGTGATCCTAAAATACAGAACAGCTGTATCGCTCATTTTAAGGCTGAGCTCATCAGAGGTATACCCAGTTTGACTCATCTTACAGAGCCAAATCTTTTCAAACCACCGGATCTCCGGCTAGCTACTTCAGCGAACTGGTCATGCCAAAGTGTGAATTTGACTTGTGGAAAACAGAAGGATTGAGCGAAGAAATACTTACTTTTCAATTAGATCCTCATCTCTGGCTCTTCTCTGATATATATAGCATTTTTTACAATACACAACAATTTACCAAACAAGTGGTGATATGTTTGTTAACAGTAGTTAAATAGTGTCTAAATGTCAATGGGTTGATAATTAACGAAGAAAGTCACTACAAATTTAAAAGGTAGAAATGGATAGAATAAATTAATTTTACAAGGATAACACGTAATTAAAGATGAAATGGTCAAAATAAAAATAAAATAATTTGGACAATAATAATTTAATAGGTTTAGGTGGAATGGAAGAGGGACGACGTAGTCCTGTCTTGTAACGATGGCCACGGTAAGGAAAATGGCTGTACAAATTTCTTCTGTACCTATAAGCTTGGTTTCTTCTGGTGGATTCCGATTGCTTCAGCTGTCTGTTGAAGACGAACTCGTAGAGCAAAGTTAAGATTAGTCGGAATGCGATAAATAATTTTAAATGCAGTATTCACATCAACCTTCTGCTCAGTATGAACAAAGTGTTTTGAAATAGAACTACGAATAAATCTTGTTTGTCCCTTGCTTAACCACGCTGGATGATGTTCAGAAATACGTCGATGAAACTGCCTAATTGTACGCTCAATGTAGCTGGCTCCGCAGCTGCAGTCAAACTGGTAGACACACATAGAAGAGGCAAATTTGACTTGTGATAACACCAGTTCGCCTAAGTAGCTATTCGGAGATCCAGTGGTTTGAATTGATTCGGCTGTATGAGATGAGTCAAACTGGATACACCGCTGATGAGCATGGTCCCAAATGAGGAGAACGGCTTTTCGGTGGATTGATCACCTCAACCTAACTAGCAAGCACTGCTAGTCGATATGAGTGTTAAGCGATTACTCACTACAATCAATCAGTAGTATACACTTTTATTCCAAAAATGAATATCAATTTATTCATCATTCCAGAATTTGATAGAATTGTCAGTGGAGATAAGAAGAGTATTAGAAGAGCATTGAATATATACGTTACGATTCAAAAAATTATGGATGAGTACATGAAAAAGGTGAGCCAACGTAACTCCTTGATGAAGTTGCCCGCCAATTACAGGTACTATTATTCGTTATTCTGATGTCCATCATCACAACACCCATACCACTTGCAATGACACAAATGTAGGTCGACCAGAATAACTAACTGCTTACTTTTCAGACCAAAAACGGAATCAACTTCGCTGCCAATTTACCTCCTATCCATCACTGTGTACTGAGAATTTGCCATCCAATGCATTTACCATTTCAGAATGTTTTTCTTTTAATGTTTTATTTTTAGAGTGATTTTAATATTTCTGTCAGATCATAGATTCACTTGATTTGTGATACTGACGTCTCAAGCTTAGTGATGTTTGTATTTAAGTATCTTTTGTAAACTATACTTTAAACATGATATCACGTTAGACGGAAATAGATGAAAGTGAAGTGTTCAGTCGTTTACAAGACAGAGAACGATATGCATATCTGAGAGCTGTCTTACTTCGATGAAAGAAACGGCTAATGAAAAGAGCATCACACTCTCTGTAACCCAAGTTTGATCTTTCAAAGGTTTTAGCACAAATTTGTCTTGTTTTCGACTGGACATGATTGTTAAACTTCACTTAGCCTAATAAATCCCTGAAATGAAGTCAGATGACTGGTGGAAATAGGCAGGAAACACTGGATCTAGATTTCGTACTTATTATGACTCATCAGTAAGGTTCACTGGCAACGTCACTAACTGCAGCACATGGGTTCGAATCTGAGGTACAAAGTGAGCTAATCTAAGATTTCGGAAATTTCCATCTGATGAGTGCCAACAAACATGAAACTGAGGTCAGTGGCTTCCTGCCGACTGTTTCCAACTATCTATCAACATTTCAGAGTGAATCACGATAGTGAGTCACCTAAATTGATGACCACATTACAAACGTATCTGGTAGAATTCACTTTGCATCAAAAGATAGACAAGACGCATGGCTCTTGTAACAACTTAATGAATATTCAAAGTAATAAATCTCCAGTTGGAATACAGGGAAACGCATGAGTTGGCGAAAGTTCTTCAGATGTTTCCAAAGAACTCATGGAATGAAATGAAAGTGGCATGCTCTACAAATTAACGATGATGAATTTTGCAGTCCATATCGCCACAAAATACAACGCATTTTCAGATAATAAATCGCGATAAATCATGTGAAATATTAAAACACTGAGACGCATAGGTTCGCAGTTTTCCTTACGAATGAGAAAGTGATAATTCTACGTGCAAGTTAGTTAATTCATTGAAAACTTCTCAAAAGCGGGCAATGGAAGCACTCTCCTAAGTCAAGCACTTCATCAGCTGCAAGACTACTATATAGCCCTCGGCGTTTGGATGATCTGTTGGCATGTAGACGATTGCTTGAGGTTTTCTTCTGTGTAATAGTTAGCGAATCGAAGGATGTATAACATCAGACAGGGTCATAGGAATCGTCTTAAAACAGAAATCATCATAGAATTCATCGTGTGATTGGTTGACTGTCGAATGTCATCATCCCTTTCTTACCTTAATCTTGGTCAAATCGCCAGTCAATCAGAGTATTAATTTGTCGCCAACGTTAGCTGAATCGCCTACTAATCAGAACAATCCATTTCCGCTGCCCTTGGCGGATTTTATTGTGTTGACAAAAGATATATAAATATGACTAGTGATTCCCTAGTAAAATTGTATCCTAACAGTCACACAGGTCATTCTTTTGTTCTCATATTTACGTGGCTCAGTGAACCGCAAGGTAGCACGGGTGAATACATGTACTTATCAGATTAGCTGAGTTGCTCATTGCGTTGGTAGTACCGTACCCCCACGTGTATGAGTCCACTTGGTCAAACCAGGTGTCAACGCTATCATATCAATTGGCGACAAGTTCATTTCAACTGGCAACATAAATCATACATAACACAGTGGAATCCAAAGCAACTCTGATAATAAGTTAACAGGATCACCCCAACATTATTCATACAAAATCATTTAATTCATAAATGTTTATTCTTAATTTCATGTTCTTTTTTATCAATCATATATCCGATATAGACATTCCCTGATTTCTCTTCATTTCAGTGGGCCTGTTGAGGCGATAGTGTTGATTCTCTTCTTCACATTAGATACGACGGGAACAAAATTTCCATTAGATTTATTCTTTCTGATGTTACATGTATGAATGTATAAATTTATTATTCTTGCAAACATTTATATATATATTACTTTTGTTAGAATAGTAATATCTGAAGCATTTAATATCTCCAAATATTTAATTAGTCATATAATACCAATTAAAGGGAACTATGGGAAATATATGTTTTAGCTTGTTCGCAGTAAAGTAGATAGTTCTGAGAAATACTTCATGGATAGTGACTAGTAGGGGAATCCATGACCAGCATTTCGTCCTAGTCACGACTCATCAACTGGATGTATTTGCATTCCCTACACAGTCATAGTTTTCCCAAATTAAACTGAATAACTGCTGACACCCGTTGCACAGTAGGTAGCTCTCATGGCCCGAATGGTTTAATGGGTAGCGCTCTGGTGTTTGAAACTACGATTACTGGGATTGAGCCCCAGTAGGGTCACCATCACTCACTGCGGAATACAGACGCGTCTAACTGACGAGTCCCAAAGTGGACGAGGTGCGACTCCTGGATTCCACTACTAGTCACTCTTCACCAAATTGCTTGAAATTGATCCTCAGATATCGCCAAAACATCTACACACAAGGAGCCAACATCTCAACATGAAGTCAAGAATTTCGGTTCAATCAGTCAGCGGGAAAGTAAACCAATAAGATTTTGATAATTCATAAATTAGTTGATGTTAGAAATTTACAACAATCGAGTTCTAGATTGTGAAGGATTAGTCATTCCAATTCGCAATCATTTTTAAAGTAAAAAATCTACAGTATCAGTGTATAGCTGACAATCATACAATCGAAACTGGCAGTACACTCGCATGAAAATAATTTTGAGATATCAGCCGGCTTTTTAGATATATATCGAGTGTAGAACTATGTTATATTCTAAGGAATGTTTCACATCACTGAAATTCCTTAGTCACATCAAAATATTCCGTTTTAATGTGACTAACAATTCTGGATGACATCTGAGGCATTATTCACTAAAACAGAATGTGACACCATATTAGGACAACAATCATGATGAAGGCTGGTTATAAGTCATAAGTGCTCGCATAGAATCGCTCCCGACCAACACTTCATTCAAGGTATCGCGCCATGATATGGAGATTGTGTCAGTGGTTCGGTGATGAAATGATCAGCAGTCACACGGAAGATCCGGATTTGATTCCTGTGTGGTACCCTTTAGGAGCATCACTCAGCTTGCCAGGAGATAGTAACTCTGGGACAGAGGGAGGGCTGAGGGTGAGTCTAGCAGCCTTACCCTATAGATATGATGGAGAAGATTTGTAGCTCAATTGCATGATTTTGATGTGGTTGTGTTCTCTGAGCTGGATAGTTTATTTGCAAACCTTTCATCACCCTACTAGGCGAAATCTTCAGCGCATACTTCAATTCGTTGAAGTGAGCTTTTAGATTTCTCCAAAAGTGTTTAAGAGTCACCTCTCCTGGTGACCTGACCTTAAACGTAGTTGGTTGTTTTCGTTTGTTTTTGTACCCTGTAGGCTACTTGAATTGAAACTGATTGTTTCTTTGGCTTGAACTTTGTGTGTGAGGTTTCCTTCTTGTCGGTTGTCAAATGCGGTGACATGACATCCACTCCCTCATATCACTACATACAGACAACCACAAACATCAATTCACCTGGGACAACGTTCAAATATTAGACAGAGGAAATACCAAGAATGGCAGAGAATTTTTGGAAGCCTGCCTGGTATACCAGTGATTCATCAATCCGTAGACACATCGAAATAAACAAAATTTACCAATCGATAAGAAGGAAACCTCACACACACAAAGAGTAGAAATTCAAGTCAAGGAAACAATCAGTTTCAATACAAGCAGCTCAGAGGATGTGAAAATACACAAAACCAACCAATCACGTTTAAGGTCAGGTCACCAGGAGGGATGATTAATAAACTCGTGGAGAAATCTAAAAGCTCAATTCAAATTGAAGTATGCACTGAGGCGAGGATGTCACCTAGTAGGTTGATGAAAGCTTCGCAAAACGTCCAAAACTCTTGAAACCAGATGTCCCCCTGGGGCACATCAAGAATGATAATAAATGATAAGGTGACAGACAGAATATTTTTTGGTCAAAATAATTTTCTAGTATACTCAAACATTATGATTTTCTATTTTATAGACGATATTAGCATCTGTACTCACAGGAATACCGTTCATTGGGCAAACGCTTACATGGGGGCTTATAGTGACGCGATCAGCTGTGGTATTGTACATCTTACTAATCACAATAGGTGCAACACTACCAATTGATCTGCGTCGTTACTACCTTGCAGTTTTCATATACCATGTTACTGTCTTGGTTGTAACTTTTGCTGTTTCAATTGGTGTCCACTATGGGACAGGACTTGTAAGTGTACAATGAAAATGTGAAATATTTTATGTTTGTAATAAATTTAAGATAAAATGAAATAATTACACTTTTTCCGTTAGTAATCAGAAGGTCCTGAGCTGGAACCCTGTTGGATGCGAACCGTCAAGAGTCCCGAACTAGCACGAAGCAGCTATCCAGTACTCCCTGGTTTTTCAATGGTTCAGCTCATAATTTATTATTTACCAAGCTGGATTTAGCTAATTATTATTGTTATTGTTCCCTTGGGTTCCTAGTGGAACATAGGGCTTCAACTGCACGTCTCCACTTGCTTCTGTCTTCTGCTGTACTTTTTACTTGCATTCATGTTAGTCCATACTGTTTCAACTCTTCTTCACACGATCTCCTCCATGTCACCCTTGGACGTCCCACTCGCCGCTTCCCTTTCGAGTTCCACTCGAGGGACTAAAGCACGATGTCACCCAGTGGCGTCCTCAGCGAGTGTTCTGCCTGGTTCTCTTGAATAATGGTCGTATTCACCTCTTTTTGTGTGCTACTGCGTTGTTGCTGTCATAATTGAGTATTTGACCTTCGTGAGTTGGTTTTCTGTAAGCTTCAGTTTCTGTGAATGTTCGGTTGACAGAATTTTGTCCTCGGATGTCTCTTATCCCGGGAACCTGATGTCGTTTACGATTTTGTTTATTAAGTGGTAATTCTTGACCAGTTTGTTTCTTCTGATTGTCGCAAATGTGTTACCTACCGAACGTATCTAAATTTTGGGTTTGATCTTTGGTAGGATTATGTTTTCTAATACTTGCATCACAGCTTCCTCTACCACCCTGATATGGGCGATCTCCTGTGTGTTCCCTTGACTTGTTCTTATATTTGGCCGTTGAATTGGAAGTACATTGTCAGGTACAGGTTTATGCATTCCATCCAACCTGTGTATCGCCTTTTTTGATTGTTGTGGAAGGTGTTCATCGTTGCTGAGTAACTGCTCCACAGTTTCGTTTGCTAGTTTCTGTCCATCTGATGTATTTGATGATGTGACGTTGAAGGAGACCATTACTTCTTCGTCATCTATTTGAAGGCTTTTCACTAAAGGCAAGTAGCCTAGACGGTGTGAAAACACACAAAAACAACCAATTTTACGTTCATGGTTACCAGCGGGGTTGACTAATAAACTCGTGGAGAATTTTAAGAGCTCACTTCAAATTGAAGTATGCGCTAAGATGAGGATGTTGCCTAGTAGGGTAATGAAAGCTTCACGAATCATCTATCCATCTCAGAGAACACAATTACATCAAAATCATCCACCTGAACTAGAAATTTCCTCCATTATGTGTTTGTGTATATTTTGTGCTTAACAGCACTTGGTGTTATTACATGAAATCGCTTAACGCCTTGTCAAATCTTGTTCTAGGATAAATTGGCACTGGCAATTGTCAGCATCGGATTGACTGCATTACAAATCCCTGTAAGTCGTCTTTTCTAATGATAGTCAATTTTAGTTATCTATTTATGTTACCTAAAGTATATGTATATGCATAAATAAACTTTTGAGTGTGTGTGATTATCAGTGAATAAAGTGAGAAGGTATCAGCTTCAAATGATTCATTCTTGCGTGTCGTGTCACTTAATGAAGTAACTTCATTGGTGGATGATAATCAATATATTAAAAATGCAACAGATACTCTGGATCACTTTCGAAATTGACTTATACGAAGTCGACCTGACTCTAGAACCATCATCTAATTAAATGTCAATCAATAGACCGGCCATTAGATTCGATCGCCGAGTGGTTAAACGACCAACAAATCGCCATATAATCTAAAGCTCTGGCGTTTGACCTCTGACAACGTCATGGGTACGTAGTGATGAAGAGTGCCAAACACGGACGAAGAAGTGTATTTTACAATACTTCCTAGTCGATTTTCAGTGATTCTATCATGATCAAACTTGAAAACCAACACTTGAAAATAAATGAGAAATGTTTATGTAAACAGTTCACGACTTTGTCAGATATCGGTTAACCTAGGCCTACTAATTGCATTTGTGTAGATCAGAGATGCGTGGACCAATGTATTTAATTGAAAACAAATTTAGGCGAAGGTATTTTACAGTATTCATTTTTGAGAAATATCTCATACAAAATTATTTCCTGACAATTGATTGCTCCACTTCTGCCTTTTTTCATCTTCAATGTCTGTTAGTGTGTTTTACTTTGTGGTCAAGTAGCATTTGGTGGACCCCAGTTCAGAACAGTTGATGACGAATACTGTGCGGTTGCATTCTGTGTGCATCTGACGCTCATCCTTCTGCTGTCAGCCATCAATATTGGAATACCATATTTGATATTGGACAAAGTATTAAGTGATCAAGTTAATCACTTCAAAATGACCTTTTGAGTCATTCAAACTAACGAAATGACAAGTACATTGCACGTAAATCGATGCAAAAACTGACCTTTACTCCTAATATAACTAACTGGCTAATAAATGTTTTACATTCTCAGTTTTAATTTGATTTTGAAAAAGTTTTCAATTGTACCAATCCTTTTTTATAATCATGCATGATTCACCTACAAGTTCTTCAGAAATGTTTTTATTGTGACAGCCGATTATGTTTGGATCAATGCAGATAATGTTGGTGAATACAAAGACCTGTGAACAGGTGGTGTGTTAACGATTCTATAATTAAACGTTTTGTAAATACAGCCAACTCTTGTCAGATAAGGTTTATTCTAAAAGTAATAATAATAGTAGTAATATAATGGCTTCAGTCCATAGAGAATTTTTGAAGCAATATGCAATTTCCACCCTGTAATACAAGATTATCTCTCTCTCTCGACCAGAGACAGAAGCCCTTGAACACCTTAAGAATAACAAGGATATAGTAATCACTAAATCAGGCAAAGGAAATACGACAGTAATATTTTGACGACAGAAGACAAGTGCCAGGTAACAGATCGTTTATTGAGAAAATCAACAGATATTTATAGATTTTTATGTACATGATTGTCAGTGGAGAAGCAACGTCTCCTCATTGGTTGTTCTCTTGCTGAAGATTATTCTGCACTGCTTGTGACCGTTTCCCAGGATTTTAAGCCATATATCTGCGAATCGTATTTGCTCACGCTAAGTCTGCTGTGACTGGTTGTCGAGTTCCTCAAGGTTAAGCTTTGTTATTGTTTTTTCTCATGACCTCGATTCCAGACGAGCCATTGACGTAAATTGTTGTCTGCAATTTTGACTTGCAGACAGCTCTCACCACAATATTAGACAAATAAGACTATTTGGAGAAAGTGAATACTCACTTACAAACACAACCATATGAGGAAATTAAGCAATCATTAGACACCGTTATGAATCAGGTTAAGAAATTCACAGCGGACCTGATATGCCAAATGAAGCTGTTTCTAGGTGACTCCAAATGGTTTAATTTAATGCGAGAAACTGATAACCTCAGTAGGATGTATGGTGTTGTTAACGGTCAAAAGTCAGGATACCCTATTAGACTTATAGTTGATTTTATAAATTAACCTACTTATTATTACTATTATTCCCTTGAGTTCCGAGTGGAACATACGGCCTTTAACAACACATCTCCACATTGTCCCATCTTCTGTCGTCCTCTTCACTTGGGTCCACAATTGCCCATAATCTATCATGTCTTCTCGACACGATCTCCACCATGTCAGCCGAAGACGACACACTCGCCGCTTCCCTTTGGGATTCCACTCTATGGCCTGACGCGTGATATAATTCGACGGATTCCTCAATGAATGTCAAATTGATCTCCACTTTTTCTTACATGTTTGTTGAGAGATACTCTCTTAGTTGGTTTGTCCCCAGCCAGAATTTCTTGTCACTAATTCTTCCTAGCTGACCATTTGTTCTTCAGTATGGAGCCATCGGAGTCAGCTGCTGATAAAAGTCTGCTGTAGTCTGTTGGAAATCCTTTTCGTGAAGCGCACTCCAATTATCTGACCCGTATAGAAAGACCGACTTGACATGGGTGTTGGAAATGCGAATTTCGTTCTTTATGTCACTCAGTGTAGCAGATTTCCAAACTGGTTTCAGGTTGATGAAGGTGTATCTTACGTTTCCGATCCTGGCTGGCTTTGACGTCTTCATCCTCTCCACCCGATAGTTAAAACGAAGCTTCCTAGATAAGTGAAGGAATCAATCTCTGGCAAATCTCCTCCGTTGATGTTGATTGGTACTGGCTGTTGTTGCGGTTGTTCGTTGATTATCTTCACCACCCCCATGTTCTCTATGTTCACCTGAAGTTCTGTCTTCGCTGCCTGCCAGGTTCTTCAGCAAGTTTGTTGGTTTTCGCCTGTAAGTCTTCGAGTTTGTGTGACAGTAGAGATACATCATCTGTAAATTCAAATCTTCTGGAGTCTTCTTGTCGGTCGTCCAGTGTACTCCTATCTCCTCGCTCATCAGCATACTCTGGAGCATAATTCAGTTTACCACACTTAAGAATATCATCGGTGATAATATGCAGTTTACTAGGTTAGGTTCTTCTTCTTATGGATTGTCTAAATATTCAGCCATGGTATTAAATCCTCTTAAAAGCCATTCAAAGTCTGGACTAACAAAATCTGATGAACTAAAACATCGACAGATTAGATAATTTAAAATTAGACAGCGAGCAAAAAAATGATTAATTTTGACATTGTCACTTCAAATATTACATCTAATTTCTCTTTTAAGAAGGCTTTTATAATAATAATAATAATGATTTACTTTATTCCAAAAACAGTACTTGTAATACAGAATGGAATTTTCAGCATTATTCACAATATTGCATCTAATTTCCTCAAATTATAAATAAAGTTAATCACACAGAAAAGTTTCCACATTTACAATATGGGTAATATAAGAAAGACATGCAGCATATAAAATGGAAATAATAATAATGATAGCAGCTAAGGTAATGATAATAATACAAGTCGAAATTGCCGTGGGCTTGCTTCAGACAGTATTCTCGATGAGGTATACAAATCCTTGCATGATTAAAAATTATTGAATATAATGTTCTCTTTACATGATATGGTGAGGATCATAAATATAACAGAAATAATAAAAGTAAAACTTGAAGGTATATAAGGATGAATAAAGGAGATTGTTTATCTACTAGATGAAAAAAGGTTAGTCTGACACTATTTTCATCTCATAGAATACGTGCCAAGTATGGTATCATAGAATTCCTATGAGCGTACAGTTTCCTGAAGTTAAATAAAGTATAATTATATTTTAATAGTTTACACACTGTGATTATCCTTGTGTGTAAACTATTAAAATATAATTATACTTTATTTGATCTAATCCAAAATGCTCAAACTTTTTACTGACATTAATTCCTGAAGTTACTTCTTGTTCTACCTGAGGAGATGCAAGGTGAAAGCTGAGACTAAAGTGGATGCTCCAAGTCAGACAAAATCACTTTAGCAAATTAACTGCACGAAGTCAAGTACCTATCGACAACGACGTTAACTATGTGGTCCACTGGGACACCACTCAACCTACTGACAGTCTTCAGCATTCTAAGACATTGCGACATAGTCCTTTTTAAACAAACCAGGAAATAATAAGGGTGAACAACAAAGCGGAATAGGTAGGATGCAAGAGTTTACGAACTATGAGAGGAGGAGTTCTTGAGTTATACCCGAGTGCCTTAACTTCTTAATGTAAAATGTCAGGCGGAATATTTTACTGGAGATCGCTGAGAAATGAGAAGACCAGGAGAGATCAGAAGAGAGAATAAGTCCAAGATACTTAATTTCTGATTTGATTCCTATATAACTGTCTCCAATCTTACAACTGTCATGAGAATCGACAGCTTCTTTTAACTGTCATTTACATCTTAAGCTGAAATTAACAGTTTGACATTTAGAAATATTCAGTTTAAGGCCGTTAGACTCAGACCGTTTACTAAATCCCGACAGAAAGCTATTTATTTTTGTGCAATCTAGCTGGGTGTTAACAGCTATTTTAACCGTTAAATCATTAGCGTACTTCACAAAGTTTATTTCATCAGAGTGAGGCAAGTCATGTAAGAAAAAAGAAAAAAGAAAAGGAGAAAGGACAGAGCCTTGAGGGACACCAGCTTCAGTAGGCAAAAAAGTGGAAGACCTCCCTTTATACATGGTGAACTGCTTTCTTTCTGAGAAATAGGAATGTAACGGGTTAGCAGCCCAACATTCTGTTTGACTTGCAGCAAGTTTATTTAATAAGATGTCCCTAGGGACTGAGTCAAAAGCAGATGTATAGTCTCGGAAGGCACAACGAACAAATTCAGCCCCCTTTTCTAGACTGGAAGCAGTGTTATGATATAAGACGGCAGCTGCATCCAAAGTGCTTCTACTGTGCTTCTAGGCAATTTGTTCAGGCTCATTACAGGATTTAAACGAAGGTACAGGACAAAGTAAAAGTAATTCCTCCATAGTTTTCAAAAAATAATCATCAT